CACAAAAATATCACCTACAAGACGCGAACCATGGCAGAAAAATGGCTACATCCCCGCAAGATCAAACACTGCAAAAGTTAGTAAAGAATGTGTTGAAAACGGTTGAAAACTGCTACACAACCGGAGGTGGTAGGGCGGGACTTCAGCGGGCTCGTTCTGCCCAATGAGAGGCTGATCTCTGCAGCAAACTTCCACCCACTCAGACTAAAGAAATCCTAACCACAAGTTTCAGCTGGCTGCAATCTGCAATCCTCACCACTAGGTGCCACCAAAGCCCCCTCTTACACACTGCTCCTTTAACTCAGGTTAAATACAGATTTATCAGACTTTAACTGGAATATTTCACAAGTGCTTTCACAAATTTGATGCATTTAAGTTCAACTTTTTATTTAAATGTTGATGATAGACAGATAAACAAAAAGCATTGGCCAGGAGGAGTGAATTTCTCTGAGGTGTGTGTGGGTGTGTGTGAAACACTCACTCTGGGTCAGTTTACGTTGATCACGGGTCCAAATAAAGACCGGAGCAGTGTGCGGTGACAGAGAGGAGGACCAGTCAGTCAGAGTTGCACAGGACCTAGCCTCAGTGCTCGACATGGACATGCCCGCTAAACTCGTGTTCCCCATCGTGGTGATCTCCGTGCTGGTGGCTTGCAGTCCGACGGAGGCGTGGTACAAGCAGATGGCCGGTCCGAGCTACTACTCAGTGGGCAGGGCGTCCGGCTTGCTGTCCGGAATCCGGAGGTCACCGTACATCAGGAGAGCCGAGCCGCAGCCGTCAGACGGCGAAGAGCTGGCGACTAACAACGTGTTTCCTGAGTTCACTGCGCAGAGTTACATCCTGAAGACCATGGTCAGTGATCACTGTGTTTTATCAAGGCGTTATTGTTTGGATGGGAGTGCCATTACGCAGCGTAAAAGCGCATTATCCGAGTTTAATATGATTTGTTTAACCTGAAAATCCAATTTTCCTTAAAAGTACAAAACAGCATTTGGTTGTCTTGAACACAGACTAAACAGGTGAAGTTACTGAAGGATTTTGCTTTTGAAATGTCAGATGTTGAACTTTTATGCTCATTATGAGTTTGGCATAAACTCTGGCTAGTTTGTAGTACCATTTGTTTTATTTTTGCAGTGAATCCCCTCTTTCTAGCGCTATATANAATAAAAACTCCTGCATGGATATCGTCTTTGAGATGGAAGATATAACAAACGGCACTAAAAGGACTAGGCATGTTTATCAATAAATATTTTATTTAAAATGTTTTAAAATAAATTTGGGAAAGTGCATCTTAACAGAACATCATCATCTGCTTAAATAAGTTATTCTAAAATGGTGAAACCAATCGTGATAAAACTAAAAGTCCAGCGCTGGATGACTAAAAACACAACTTCACAGTCCTAACAGCCCTCAGGAGATGTTTACAGCAGCTGCACAGCCGCTAGATTCTCACTCATAACCTGATCTATGACCATGTGGAAGACAACCTGTACGTTAGCGGTGTCTGTGGCAGTGGTGAAGTGGTGGTAGATGGGCTTGTCCGGGCGGCTGTTGCATGACGAGAACATGGCAGCGATGTGGTGGGCTGCAGCGTCCACGTCACCATCGGCTCCTGGATTTCAGTGAAGTGAGGAGTCAGTGTTAAGGACAGTCCAAACTGCACACAGTCGGTCTGATTCATTGATTAAATATTGATAAGCAAGACACGGTCTTCCGGTGAGAAACTCAACACAAGTTTTCCACCTCAATCCTCAAACACACAAATAAAACATGACACAGAGTTCAGTACTCAGTTGTTGTGAATGAGTGTGAAATATGTATGACAATGATCTGGCCAGAATTAATGATATACACACAAACAGATGACTGTATGTGAATACTCTGATGCTCTCTGGCCAGAAGGAATTCTGATTACCCAATGGACACAGAGGATTCAGCGACCACCCAGCAAAAACAGACAGACACACAGACACACACAACCAATTCCATGAGGTAGTAAGAATTTTAAAATATACCTCTGAGTTACAAGTTGTGAACTCCAGAGTTGCACACAGCTGATAGCATATGTCAGCAGTTCCTCAAGTTTGGGGTCAGAACACTGGGGCAGTTGCAATGTAAATGTGAGATTCCCAAGATTACTATTAAGATACTAAGATAACTAAATATGTTTAAAATCTATCATCTTTGTTTAAATAACTATTTGAACTGTCTTGGTTTGCCCAAAACAAAAAGGCAAAAGTATGCCATACTCAAAATCGCACAGATATTTGACAGCTCTACCTGCGTCAGAAAACATAAAACAATCAATCCTCTCTAAAGTACCTTTGTAACTAGGCAGGTAAAATCTCAAGTGTCTTCCCGAGTGTAGGATCTTGTCTCGGAAAAGGTCGGTTTTGTTCATAAACAGAATCTGTAGGAGAGATAGAGCACCAGAATTGTAAATTTAAAAAAGAAAATCCACAGTGACAACAGTCAAATAACCCTCTAGTCGATGACTTTGGGTACAATTTCACAACATAACTCATGGGTGTGAAATGTATCACATTCACAACATTTAAGTATCAGTTTAAAATTATGAAAAGACTGCATGAGCCTCATGAATAAAATATTATCTCCATACTGCTGTATATCACACACAGAGCATCCTGACATCCTCTGTAATGAGGATACGGTGGATCTCCTAACTCACGAGGGAATAAATACCCTCCATACATACAAGCGTCCTGCTCCACACTGAGCCTGCACCTCTAGAGCCAAAACACACTAATGCACAACGTGTGTATCAGACTAGTCCATGAAAACACACACTACTGGCACTTAACACAAAAATGAACCACACTTGGTGAAAAATGAAAATCCTACAAATACCTACAAATATATTTTGGTTTTCAGTAGCCTTGCCTTGAATGCATAATAATGCATAATCTCTATTTAAAGCAAATCTCTTCACACCGCTAATAGAGAAGCAATACACTGTCCAGCATTGGAAACACAATTAACATTTTTAAAAATGATGCAAGAGAATATCTGTAAGATATCCCTTGCCCCTCCACCAGGTGTTAAACAGTGCTCACAGCCAACTTACTAAACACACATCACCTGCCCTACATCTCAGCTAGACTTTGTATGCTAATTATGTCTGTCAGACGCAATCATACCCAGTTTGTGTCACGTCTGCTTGGCATGAGTGATTACCGAAAAAGCCCCTCAGTGCCTTCGTCACCTCCGCACATTTAGATGAGCTTTGAAACAGACGGGGCAACAAGAGCTGAGAATAAAGGCACACTTCTGTGGTTGGCTGTGGTAAGTCAGTCTGGTTCATACGTCTGTTTCCTGTTTATGGAGTTAGCATCGTTAGCTTCTCACCACCAGCTCAGCCACCTTCATGTTGAAAAGACAACTCATGTGCTCTGAATTTTGCATAAAGCCCTTGTAAGAAGGCCAGGGTGTGAATAAACTTACCAGTGAGGCGCTGCTGAAAACTGCGTTGGTGCAGACGGATGTAAAAAGTTTGAGACTTTCTTGCAGGCGATTCTGAAGGAAAATGAAGTAGAGGCGCCGAGGGCAACACATTCAGCTAAAATCAGTGACTTTTCTGCCAAGTAATAACACACAGTATCAAATTTGATTTATGCCATCACAAAAATTACCATACCCCTGAAGGCTCCTCCGTCTGTATATCATAGCTGCTGAGGGCCACGACAAACAACACGGCCTGAATACAGTCAAAGCAGCTGAGCCACTTCCTCCTCTCACTGCGCTGGCCCCCGACATCATACAACCTGTCAGTAAGCAAAAAGCAATCCAGTCATGCTTTATTCATCCAGTGAGTTGCTTACAACAGCTCACATAGACCGTACGTCAAAGGAGAGAGAAAAGTATGATTCACTGTGTGTGTTTTACACCTTAAATCACTCTTAACAATCTATAAAGACATGATGGAGCGCTTGTGTGTGCTAAACTCTCCAGAGACTGGTCACATGAGTTTATTAGAAATATCAGAAAACTGTTTCAGTCTAGGGTGATATCCTTTATATTGAATAATGATATTAATTCAAACCCAGTTCAAATATTGGGGCAATCCACTTCAAATTATGGTGCGGCACGATAGTGCAGTCGAGGGTCTTGGTGACACAGGTAATGAGTTCCCATTTGGGCCAGACGGTCTCCAGGTGCATGATTGCAGTACTCATGTCAGAGGCAATGAAGCATTTATCCCCTGGGTCAAGAGTCAGATTTAACAAGCCGGGGGACAATAAGCCTTAACTGTGGTGTTTGACGGCTGTAGTTTCTGAGCTGCAGAAAAGAAAACCATCATTCATGTCCGTAAGAAGGCTTTTATGGTTTTTCAGATTTAGTGGAAGAGCAAGATCAGACCTGTAAACTGATACACCTCACAAGACCTGAGGAAATAACGTTATTGAATTTAGGTATTTAGTGAAATCAGCTCAAGACATATGAGACTGACTCAGTCTGATGCTGTTTTAGCCATGCGTATGACAATTGCGTGAGAACATATTAAAATCATATGCCTATAATTCAATAAGGAGATGGAAAGCAAAGCCACATAAACTGCTTCTATGTAACATGTCTGTTAGTATTATAGTATTATAAGTGCTGCAGGGAACATAATAACAGACTGCATATGGACAGTTATAATATTTACATGGTCTTCAATGTTGCACAATTTTGGCTGGCTTATTGTTCTGTGGTATCTGAATGGAAATGTTGCTTGATGACCTTGAACCACCTACACACTGACTGTATTCAGCATGAAAGTAAAACAAAAAGACATTGCACCACTACAGTAAGCAATAAAAACACAACTTTATACTTTGGTAGGTTATGAAGTATCAAATATTTCTGTGCAGTTCCGGCTTTGAAAATTGGCAAAGGTGATAAAAAATGCTTTAAGTACACTGCAGTTGTTTTCCCAAATGCCTTTTGAACATCTAGAATATCATATGATGAAATGTCCTTTAATGAAAGTTTAGCATTTCACCAGGAGCATTTCTGTAGCACCACAATGCTTCATTTATAATGGTATGTTGCAACACCATTCCATTTTTATCCGCTTATCCAGGGCCAGGTTGCGGGGGCAGCAGGCCAAGCAAAGTACTTTGTACTTCCCTCTCCCCAGCAATGCTTTCCAGCTCCTCCAGGGGGACTCCAAGGGTTCCCAGGCCAGATGAGATATGCAATCCCTCCAGCATGTTCTGGGTCTGCCCCGGGGCCTCCTACCAGTGGGACACCCAGGAGGCATCCTGATTAGATGCCCGAACCACCTCAGCTCATCCCTTTCGACGCGAAGGAGCAGCGGCTCTACTCCGAGCTCCCTCTGGATGTCCGAGCTCCTTACCCTATCTCTAAGGCTGAGCCCAGACACCCCACGGAGAAAACTCATTTCAGCCGCTTGTATCCGCGATCTCATTCTTTCGGGTACTACCCAGAGCTCATGACCATAGGTGAGGGTTGGGACGTAGATGAGGCAGTAAATCAAAAGCTTCACTGTCCGGCTCAGCTCCCTCTTCACCATGACAGACCAGCGCAGCGCCTGCATCACTGCAGAAGCTGCACCAAATCTCTGATCAATCTTACGCTCCATTCTACCCTCAGGCATGAACAGGACTCAAAGATACTTGAACTCCTTCGCTTGAGGCAGTAACTCTCTTCCAACCTGGAGGGGGCAATCCACCAGTTTCCGGCAGAGAACTATGGCCTCAGATTTGGAGGTGCTGACCTTTATCCCTGCCGCTTCACACTCAGCTGCAAACTGCCCCAGTGCATGCTGGAGGTCATGGATGTTCCAACACATTTAACCTTTATCAAAAAAATGCAGGTCCTGAAATTTGGATACTGAACTTGCCCATATTAAGATTCTGATAATAATTTGATTCATTGTGCAGCCCTAACTCTGAAGCAGGTCTAACGTTGAAGAAGCTACAGTGTTTACAATATTAATGATGTCCTGGTCTGTATGGATTCTATTTCTTATAATGACCCACACACTGAATGCAGTCGTAGCACAAGGCGCAGGGGGAATCAAGAATGACTGCTTACTCTGTATGCTTCCTCCATATTTGTGTTATTATTCCTGGAATAACCAGGTGGAGTCAAGCCATCAATATTTCATGTCTGAGCCATGCCCAGGCAGCTGCTTCCTGCAGCTCAGAAGAGTTCAGCTTCAATCAGGGACCCTTCAAGAGTTGGTGGTGAGGCCGAGTCTCTGGAGGCTCAACAAACTGCTTTCTAGGACAGCATCTTAAAGAGTGTATGACAACTCCATGAGCAGTAACTCTGATGGAAAATAAATTTAAGTCCAAGTCCTCAATGCACCATAGAATAGGTTTTGTGTTTAACCCATTGATTGAAAATTGAGTATACTGACATTATTGACACCCACTTCCCAAAGTTATTTATTGTTGATCAGTTCCATAGCCTCTCAGTCATCACAAGTTTTACTGAAAATCTACTTAGAGAGTGGTAAAATATGGTTGTTGTCACTACAGCCAACATTTAATCAAATGTACTTATTTAAAATTTGAAGTTACGATATTTTGTGCTACAGGCTTATGAATGATAAATTCTCTCTCCCACTGTTTCTTGACTGTCTGTATGCTGTCAACTGTCCAATAAAAGGACAAACATGCAGAACAATAACCATAAAAACAACTGAGCAACTACACCTTCTAACAGTTCCAAAGCCATCTTTATTACAGGCTGCTCTTCGTTTCCAAGCAAGCTAATTACTAACATAATCAAAACCTTTTAAAGGCAGCGGCGCAAGGCACAAATCTGCTAAACAACCAAAAAAATAGGGAACTGGTTCCAGTTGAGAACCGGTTTTAAATTGTCTGATCCATTGGAATCTTAGCTTAGCAATTGCTTTTACTGATGCTGGCATGTTTTTCTGCCAAACAATGACATCGAGCTCACGCGCATAAACTGGAAACCTGCAACAAGGAGTTGCGACACAGAGGAAGAAATGGTTCAAAGCGCTGCTTCATTTCACAAACAAAGATGACATCAGTGCTGGTGGTAATTTCTATAATTTCTATAAAATTATCATTTCAAGTAAGGGTGGGGGAAAAAACACTATAAATTCTGCAAATGCTTTGTATCTGACACTCTATGCACATGTGACACTGCTTACCAACTGCGCAGCATGTCCATTACCAAGGGTCAATATCCTGTGTAACAATAGCATTAGCACCATGAAGACAGTCTTGGCATGTTTTTCATTTGACTAAGAAATACTCGCTGAATTTGAAGGCTGTACAAATATTCTCATTTCATCAACACTATGTTCAGACTCAGAGATAATTAGAATTACAATTATTGGTTGTATGCCTCCACGAACTTGGCAAGTTGCAATTACAGTTTACATCAATGTCTGTGGAAAAACATGGACGCTTCACACCCATCTTCCCCAAATTTGCAAATAAATTCCTAAGTTATGGCCAAAAACATGTTTTGTGAGGTCACAGTGACCTTGATCTTGAGGATTGACCTTCAATCCTCAAATTCTTATCAGTCCATGTGGACATTTGTGCCAAATTTGAAAAAAAAATCCCTCAGGGCGCTCTTGACACAAAACG